CAGGTTTGATATCCCTTTCATTACAATGTGGGACTATAAGCACATGTCCCAAAGTAACTCCGTATGCTAGCAAATAATTTCACACAGTCAGTAGACGGAGGGTAAAACAAGCTGCATTAAGCTTATATACATCAAATGTAGCTTTTTAAAAAATTCCATTAGCTCGACTGGTAGTTTCTAAACAAATTTTTACATCCACTGTACACAGGAAGAAACAGAAGTACCAGAAGACTGTCAGAGTCAAACTGCATCAAGAATTCATATTTGAGACTTTTAGAAGCAATATAGGTTGACTTTCAACATACAATCATAAATAATGTTACAACTTCTCTAAATCTGATGGGGTATGTCTCAAAACACCTGCTTCTAAGTGGCTTTCAGGAGAACTACTCTACTCAAGCCCAAGCTCATCGGACCATGTTCTTGATTTGATTGATAAAAGACATGATAATGACCCCATTTACATGAAAAGTTCTCCTCACACTAAAGAATAGTCTACATGAAATATGTTTAACTGAACTGAAAACTTTATTAGCTCTGATGAAGGCTTGGATTCAAATGGAGATAATGTTTCCTGTGTAATGCCTCGTCTGATTTGAAGCCACACTCAAAATCTAAACATAAGATCACTATAACTTGAAAACACATAAGTCAAATTAAGCAGGAAATTACTTTTTTTTTTTTCGTGTCCTCACTGTCTCCCACACGATCCCCTTAAACAAAGCTCTCTTCTGGCAGTCTCGGGGAATTTTTGCCCTATCAGTGCAGTACCATTCACCCCATGGGTCACACATCAAGATAAAAAACACCTCTCTGTGAAAGGCAAATAGATCAGACAAGTTGCAAGCTGCACCTTGAATGGCCCATGAGGATATCTCGCAGCATAAGAACTTGGCCATCCGCCCTCTTCACGCAGAACACAAAAGGCAAGCAAACACTTTAGGATGCAAGAGGTGGGTTAGGACAGATAAGTGTCAGGGTGCGCCGAGACTTCTCTCAAATGTTTGAAAACTAGCTTAGTTCAGTGATTAATATGTGAACAAAAGGAGCATGGCATCAGCATGAAAAGCGAGCTGTCAAACGGGAGATTTAGTGGCTAACAGAGGGTGAGAGAGATAAATCATGCCATGGCTGGATGGGTATCTGTCACGTAGGACCTTGGCGACATGAGAGTGCCCGCCAGACTTCTTAGCCTATCACTAAGTCAATAACTGGCCAAACAGAAGAGCTAGCATTCTTTTTGTCTCTTTCCACACATTGCTGGATGAATGATGCTGATATGGAAAATCACCCCACAAAAAGTAAACAGATAAAGAATGCGGGACAGAAAGAAAAAAAAAATTCCCTGGTAACAATGTCATCCCAGGGTCCATTGCTACAAACAGACCGTGGGTGTGATGTGGACTCCATGATCCGTGTCTGGAAAACCTTTTGGAGATGTGCCTCAATGCACATCTCCAAACCAAAGTTCACCATATTTCCTTTCCCTATGCCCCTAACCATGGCTCCAAAAGCCCATAATAGTGTGACTTTATTTTACTGACATAACAAAAAGTGTAACGGTGTATAAGTGTTACATTTGAATCGAAAGAAAATTACTTAGTCTTCCCGCAATATGCCAGAGTTTTCAATATGTAACCTGAAAGAAGAGAATTAGTCCTGAAGTAACCAAAGATAGAAAGAAAAAGACAAAGGCAGTAGGTGCAGCCATAGTTTCAAGAGCTGTGATTCAGAGGTTCAAAGATACACCCAGCAGTCACAAAGAAGAGGAAGGTGTAAACATGATTAGCATTGCATCACTTGGGTTTGGCCATTCTGTTTGTTTCCACAAAGAATGCTCAGGGAAATAAATCTGATTATCCGTCATATTTCTCCAAATTGAAGTCGTACTGTTTTTTTCAACCTTTTGGTAAAAAGCAGAAAGGCACAGAAGTTCTTCATCTTTAAATTACATCTCAAAACAGCGATAGTTTTAGCTATCTAAACCATGTCCTGCGCCCACGGATCTTTTTCCCCCGCCACAACTTGCTTTGTGAATACCCAATGGAGATCAGATCAGTGTGTCCACTGAGTGCCAATCAGAGTAGTGCACAATACCTCCAGCCAGTGTATGGTGACATGTCTCTGTCAATAGACAAGTCAAGCCAATCTACCGGCCAGATAATAGCAGCAGTCACTCTGACAGTTAGATCCCTGCACCGCGCTCTCTGTGGGCCTCGCCTTGCTGTGCTTGCTCAGGCCTTCCTATCCTGAGGGGTTAGGAGTCCTACACACACAACCAGAGACACACACACACACACACACACTGAGGACCAGGGGCTCTGGCGCTCTATCATGTTGTGCTAAAGGGGGGGGGGGGGGGGCATAATGGTTTTTAAATGGATGACTCAGTGCTGGCCCAGAGAGGGCGTCTGAGACAGGGGAGAATGGCCATGGCCTGCAGCGCAGCAGCTCTCAGATTGAGCTGTCCGTCTTGCTAAAATGAGCCTGAGTTAACACCTCTTCCAGTTCCCAAAGCCCCCGGACAGACAATAGTCCGCTTCCTCTCTGGTGCCTTTCTTTGTCTTTCTCTCACTTCTTCTCTTTCGTGCTCTTTTTTTTCTATTATACACTGTTTCTTTTTTTTTACCAATGCACTTACACTCAGATATCCAGAAAGCAGTAAAGCATCCACCAAGTGATTGTTGAGCTTTTTGGGATCACTGGTAGACCACAGTGCTTGCAAAACCAACATAATGAGTCTTTTCCAGTTCCAGCATTAAGAAAAAATCCACAATAACATAGTTAAAGTTGTTTAACTGATGTGGATAGCATGTGCCACTGCAGACAGCATTTATCATTGCCGGTGAACCAAAGTATTTCTAATTCAATTTTGGTGACTTTGTTACAGAAATACAAAGTTATATAATGACTGATACTTGTGTATTGTTAAAACAAATATTAAGTGTTTGATTCAATTCATGGATTGCTCATACAAGTTTCATAACGCACCTCTCTTTTTTGACTAAAGATTAAATGATTAACCATATCTTTAGAATTTCCACAAACACCATCACACTCCAGTTTCTGAAGTTGTGAGAAGTATTTTTAATCTTTTTTCAGCCTAATTAGTCACTGCTGGACTTACTTTTTAGATCTTTATTTCCTCATCCAAACACAGGTTAAGTCTTCCCCTGTCTATTTGTCTTAGACCAGAGGCAGTAGATGAGTAGAGGAGCTGATGGAGAAAGGGAGGGAGAAATGGGGTCTATGGGGCTCCTATGGGAGTCTGTTGATGACTATCAACAGGATGACTGTTATGACTATCTGTGATAAGAGTCTGGGAGAGGAGAGTCTCTGAAGGTTTTCAGGCCAAAAGCAGTCAGGATTTCGTTAAAAAAAAGAAAAAGAAAAAAACATTAGCCAGAGCCGGCCCTTCACTGATCGTTCAGGTCTGATCTGAAGTTGCATTTTTAAAATAATGAAAATATTCTACACCAGTGGTAGAATCGTGGCCACACTCATGCACTGCAAACACTGGATTGCACCTTCTCCAATAACTTAGACCACTGTAAAAGGTAGCTATCAATTGGATATCTTTCAATGTGGGAAACCAACTGAAAGACACAGAAAAATGACTCAATTCCGCTGATTTTCCACACACACAGTCCACACAAAGTGTTTGAGTGTGTTCCAGGACTCATACATGTGCACTTCTGGGAATGTATCTTTTTAGGGCTAAGGGGTTGCCTTTTCTTACAAGCCAAAGAAACCAGGCTTGATGAATATGCATTAAATGGGGTGAATGGGAGAGGAAAGGAGGGGGAAACAGGAAAAAAAAAAAGTGCACATGCAAGGAGAGCGTAACGTTTGGAAAGAGGCCCTATGTACCCTGAATGTCCAGCCGTAATGCAAAGTTTAAAGAGGAAAATGTCACACTCGGCATGCTGCCACACAGCGTGTGCCTGTGTGCTTTAATCACACAGAAGAAATTGTGCCGACAATTTTTTTTTCTTCCTACTGGAACTGTGATGAAAAACCTCTGAAAAATCTGATCACTGTTTGACACACATATTTTGAAAGATATCATACTAAGATTGAATTTGATTAACTTGGATCTTTAAATCATTAGTTTGTTGAAGTTGTGGTGCCAGAAACTGTAACATTTTAATCACCATCAAATGTATGTCTTCAGTCAACATATTTCTACACATATTTACTGTACATGGTAGGTTATCTATCTACATTTCTTGGATTTTCTTAAAAACGGACATTGGCTGTTAGTGTCTAACCCAATGGTATCATACCCTGTCCAGAACAGTGGTCATTACCTAAAATGTAACATGAGACTATATGAATGAGTGGTCTCCCAAAAAGCTGAACAGTCAAGGAGTCAGTGAAATGAAAAACAGACCCGTGTATTTAATATCTGATTAGGACTAAGAAAAGGAGACACAGACCAGGAGTCCCCCCCCCCATTGAGCTTACTGAAGCAACTTCAATATCCTCTAATGTCATGTTGAAATGAAAATTAATAGTTCAATATGCCGCCACTGCACTGGGCCACGCTTCTTCCATTTCCATATCAGATGGCGTGACCAAATGAGTGCGCTCGCTTCAGGCCGACGCCCAGAAAAGCTGATATCTCCACTAATCAGCCAGATTTTTCCATCTGACATCGCTGTGCTGCCCTGTGTAAGTATATTCTGTCTACGTGTGCATCTGTGTGTGTGAGTGTCTGTGTTCGCAGGGATCAAAGATGAGGTCAAATTATAAAGGGAATGCAAATGGAATGAGCATCTCTGCCGGCGATGAGATATATGCCCGTGAACATGAATTGTGATGGCTGCAAATGTGAATGAAGAGCTGCTCGTGCAGTTACGGCTTTTCAGCGCTGCTTCAATTCCTATCTCAGGGCGATTCTGCACACCGTCCTAAATGTGCAAAGTTAATGCACAGTAATAAAGAAACTGAGAATGAAAAACTAAACAATGCACAGAGAATTCAGCTCGGCTCCTTACCTCCCATCCGAAGGAGCCGTCTTTGCCTGTGGCCCCGTGATGCTTCATGGTGTGCAGACCGAACCTTTCGCCGGCGCAGATGCGGGTCTTCGCCCAAACGCCCAGGCCGGCGCCGGGCACGGAGGACTCCCTCAGCTCCAGCTCACCGGGAATGGGAATGTCGTCGGGAATGTAGACGGGCGCTTCGTAGGGCGAGCCCTCCTTGGGTGTGGTGAAGTCCTGGTCGTTGCTGCTGCTGCTGTTGTTGTGGAGATGGTGGGACGTGTAGAGGTGTGGGTGCAGCAGGTGGTGGTGGTTGTTGTTGGGATGGGTAGGGGTCGGTGAGGGTAAAGGGGACATGTTGATGAGGCCGTCTTCGGCATCGTCTTCTGGGCTGTCGGCACCACCTCCGCTGCCAGCTGCTAGACCCGGGAGGTCGGCCTCTGTGTCGTACATGCTGTCCGCTGGCTCACTGTCATCTGGGAGACAAAGAGACACACGTAGCATTAAAAAAAGGGTAAAAAAAATTAATAATAAGCTAAATTTAAGCTTCTAAATACAGGCTGAAACGTACTATGTGAGACCAAACTCTACAAGTTTATGCAAAGATCTCCCGACAAAACACAAAATACACTTCAATAACCAAACTTTTACTGTTAGTGAACCAGATCACAATGAGAAAAAGTAGGAATGCTTATTCATTTGTTTGTCTCCGGCGGTAAAATGGTTTTGCAGAGAGAAGAGGCTTTAGGTCAGCCAAGTCCTTGATGGGAACCATTCTCCCTGACATGGCAGGACTATCTTACAATAATTCAGTCTATCACTGACCTGGTTAGCCTCCCACCTATTATTATTGTCTCATGCAGGGATTGACAGCATGATTGAGCCTGCACACCAGGATCCCATCATTTCAATATGAGTGTGTGCGTGTGAATGCACTTAACATCTGGCTTTCAGTCTCATCCACATTACGGCATTACGTGTTATGAAGGAAATTGTTGCAGACAATGACAGTTTGTAAATGTGCATTTGCAAAGGAATTTAGATGAGGCCACGTGGCAATTGGAACAAACGTTGAAATTTTCATTAGTTTGTCAAATATTTATCATTTCAACACAATTGTGTAAAAAAAAAAGATAAAAAGCGATGAGTACAATCTACAGAAGGTTTGTTTGTACTAAATGTAAAAATGTCTCTGCACACCACACTTTGGCATATTCTGAAAAGAATGTATATTTTTCTGTAACCCCCTGAAAGATTACATAAGTTTGACATTAAATTGTATGTAAAACATATTTGTTTATTTAAGCATATCACTGCATTCTTTCTTTTTCTCCACAGACAGTTCCTGGTGTCTTGAGTCAAAGTCCCACTAGTGGTTTGCTATCTAAACACAGGCATTGGCAATCAGCAAACCAACTAGGCCCAAAATACAGCAGGAGTGGTTTCAATCAAGCTCCGTCCCTGTTCTGTCCTACATTTTGCCGGCCGCCAAGCCCGTTGTTCCTTCCCATGTCTTCACTAAAGCTACAACATGACATTTTAAATACATCCTTGTCAGTACATTGACCTTCAATTGTGTATTAATAAAAGTTTTGAATAAACCCCGCCAAAAAAACAAAAATAAATCCAACGGAAGAAACTTTTGTGTTAAGAAAGCCATTTCTAACACTTTTTTTTACTGCTGTGTGACATTTGTTAAGTTTTCGAGCATGCAAACATTAGAAATACAAAACAAAAACAGTAACGACATACACACATATCGCAGAGAAAGTGTGAATGATCAGGAATCCCAAATCGTCATTGGTTAGAAAGAATAAGAAGATTGTCAGTTTTCTGTTCATTGATAAATATTCAGACTTTTTCCCAGATGTGGACAGTGAGAGTTGTTAACGGACTTGTAGGTTTCAAAAGTGAAATATGAAACCGTGAAAGTATGCAACATGGGTTTGTCTGCGCTTGGCAAACCTGCTGCCTGTCCACACAGATTCAGGAGCCTTATCACATAAAGCTGAAACAGTAAAAGCCAACCTTTTATGACTGATCTTTGCGTCATCCAGTGATTTTCACTGGAAAATAATCCGTTATTTTTAATGATCGCTGTTTCATTGGGGCTCAGACCCGGCACGCAATTAAGCACTGGAACATATGAGCCAGCGGTAGCTTCTACTTTTCACGCAGATCAGTTAAAGTTTTATAACTCAGGCCTATCTGCTGCTCCCTCTCCACAATCAAAAGTGTTTTCAGGCTGTTAAGCACTTCTTTCACTCTCTTCATTCCCCGGCTCTCACTGGCACTTGACCCATCCAGAGCAATTTTGACAAGCAGAGCGACAGCCCTGGAAAATCTATTAAATACCATTTGGCTTTTAGAGGCTCTGTGCAAAAAAAAAAAGAAAAAAAGCAGAGATTGCAAGTCAAATAACGAATTGTGGAGAAAAAAGGCTCTTAATTCTAATGAACAAAACATCTTTTCTGAGACACGTGACGCTGCGGAACAAAACCATGTGATATTGAGAGGTTTGTGTAATGCTTCCCAACAGAGGCTACGTCCGTCGTATTCTTTACCGGACATGTGGATTCACGTTTGACCACTGATGACAAAACAAACAAAATAAAAAAACGCAGATTATGTTTTACCTGCTTGTAATGCAGGTAAAACATAATGAAAGGGGTTTGGAAGAAGAAGAGGAAAGGGCACAGAGCCTTATAACTGATGACAGAGCTGCTTTTAAACAGCTGTGTGTTAGTTCTGGGTCTCAGAAGACCCAGACAGAGATGTTAGGTTCGCCTCCCTGTGGGCTTCTTAAAAAACACAGAGGCCAGATAGTACCTTCCTCTCCCTGGGTCCTTATGTTGTTCTTTCTCTCTCCGTTCCTTTCGCCATCTCTTTCTCTTTTACGGGGAGCTATTTATCCTGATTACATCAGGGGTCAATCATTAATTCGCACCTTGGGGGTCCCGGTGTTGGCTGTGGCTACAATGGGCTGCTTGTTCAACGGCTGTTATTCCAGTGGAAAACTACTCTGCTCTGCCTGAGAGGCAGGCCTGGGCCACATGAAGGCATCCCATTTATTTGATAAATTGTAAATGCGTGCCATAAACGGGGCTCTTTGCTTTGTAGCATGGCTTGCAATAACAAAGATTTTAGGGCACGTATGAGCACAGAGGCAGGCTATCATACAAACACACATCTGTTTGCAACTGAAGGAGCTGTTACTGTACTCTAAACACATGTGCAGGAGATCAGATGGTGTGAAAGGTAAAGATGGTATCTCATAATTATTACATGTGACTTGGAAATAAGATACAATGAAGATATGATTTTTACAAATAGAATTAAAACACATACCCTGTTTTATTAAATGATATAAATAATAAACAAATGGCTTTGGTACAGCCTTTAAAAAAAAAACGTCACCTTATTTCTTCCCAGAGACATTGAGAACTACGTCAAAAACCACCTGAGAAGCTGATAACATTGTAATCAGTGTTGCCATGGCAAAATAACTTGACACAGTTCTGAAAATCAGTGGTTTAATAGAAGGCCTTACAACAGGCAAATTGTTCTGTGGTTGTGTTTAATCAGAGCACTCTAGACTTAAACGCAGAAAGATAGAGATCTGGAGTCATTTTCTGCCGTCTGCCTGGACGCACACAAACACATGTGCCTTGTGGCATATGGACTGAGCTGTATTGTTGACGTGGTCTGGGTAGAAAGAAACAACACAGACTGCATGCAAGAAACCTGGAACAGGACCTAAAAATTATTTCTGAAATATGGAACAACTAATGTTGCAGAAAAACATCCTTTTAGGACCGAAGCAACAACAAAACAAAGGACCGTTTGCAATCCCAAGTACAGGAAAAGTCTTTCAAAATATATTCAATAGAATTAATTAAATTGTGTACTCAGAGCCAGTATGTTTCATCGTGATGTAGTGAATGTGACTAAAATAACGTTAAATGAGAGTCAGACTTAGGATGTCTGCACCAGTGATGGCCATCATAAAGCACACACATCTTTACTTCTCTTTCTGATTTCACTAGCACACATGGGGACAGTATCTTTGTCTGGCCGTAAACTGATCTGGTTCAATTCGAAAAGAAAGTCAGTCACTGATGAAAAGACAGTATCCAGGGAAAAGGCCAAACTATGCAAAATTCAGCTCAGCGTCCAAATATGGGGAGAAAAGATCGTCTGGTGAGGGTAAGAAGAAAAAACGAAAGAAGGAATTGAAGGCAGAAGGAGAGTATGTAGACCATGACAGTTATGAAAAATGGGTCGCTAGCAGAGCAATAAATGACCAAAGATTTTGATGTGGAATCTCTGCCCCGCACCAATGTGTATGTGAGGCAGCTTGTAAAGCCAGGCCTAATCTGCTGTTTTTTTTTTATCACTATACTGTGTCAATATGGTCCCACTTAGCTGCATGACTGGGTCACAGAATGATACTGGTACCTGTTCCCCTGTGGCAAGCAGACCTTTGATGATTCTGTCTCCACACAAAGAAACGTGATTCAAAACAGGAGCGATGCAGCTGTAAAAATCAAACGTGGGCAAATTAAAAGAGGAGAACGAGAGGTGAAAACCCGTACTACAGTGTATTTTTCCACAGTGGCACCGGGGTACCATATATCCAAAATGATGTGTAAATGGAAGCATGTGAGGAGGCAGCCAGAGGTGGGCATTGAGGGGAGAAGGTGCCTGCTTGGTGTGTGTGGTTGGAAGTAGTGTGTGAGCAACGGGAGCACGGTCAGCTACAATACCAGAAAACCTCTATGAGAGAGAACACCACACTGTTTCCCCTTGTAAAAGCACCAGGGAGTGTTTCCAAGCAACACTTCACACCACAAAACAGAAGAAAGAAAGACAGGGAGAAAGAAAGGAGAAAAAGATGGACAGAAGGAAAGAAAGAAAGAGAGAGAGGGCTAGTACATAGTTGCTGTTATTTACTTGTTTCGCGGTTGTGTAACGTACACCTTATATACATCTTTTGTATTACTGTCTGCTCAGCAAAACCAAAAAAAGGACATTTGATATTCAGTTTTCAGTCATTACAGTTCAGATGACCCGATGATCAATCTAAATCAAGACACGGTGTCATTTGAAAAAATCATTCACGACTTTGTCCTAGGTAAGTATGTATGTTTGTGTGCCTGTTTTGTGGTATAAGTGGATTTAAAACACATCATGGGAAACTGTGCTGTTTGCTTGTGTCAGTGTAACTGAAAATGGTACCATAAATTAAATTAATAACCATACAAAATGTTTTTGAAAATGACAGAATTCAAACAGTCACTGCAGTGAGTGTATATTTTTGTGTTTGTGTGTGGTTCTAACAAAACATCAGTTGTGATGTATTGATGTGTCATTTGTGCTGAACGGCCTGGAGCCATTTCATCTTCCAATAGTGTGTGTTTCAGTTTGTATGCTGAGTTCAGGCCTCCAGGCAAGTGGAGGACAGCAGGCAACCTCC